TTTTTTTTTTTTTTTTTTTTTCAGTTGATCTGCGAAATGTGGAGGAGGACCTACCATCAGTTTTGTGTGTTAAGAGGGGGTTGCGACTTGAGGGATATTATTCATTCTCTTTGGCATCCATTTCAAAGCACCCCAGGAGGGGCCCCCTCAGGTCAGCTGTGTCAGCTTGGAGGCCAGCTGAGGGCCTGGCTGATGTGCTGGCCCTGGCTGGGGACAATATGTGCGGCTTTGGTGCAGGTGCGAGGAGGCAGCAAAGAATGGCCACTGTGTTGATTTAATCTTTATGGCCCTGGTTCCAGGCGGAGTCCCCTCATATCACCCTTTGAAGGAGCGATTACAGAGACTGGTTTATTTGTTATGATTATATTTTAAGGTATAAGATTCAATTGAATCAGCTATCTGCTAAATATTTGGAAATGGTTGCTTTCCGTTTTCACGGACTTTATGCTGATCCTAGGAGGGGCAAGCTTCTCCCCAGGACTCCTGACACTGACTTGATTTTTTTTGGAATTTTTGTGGGTTATTGAGGGGTGACATATCCACAATTGAAACCACATTAAAAAAAAAAAAGCTCAAAGAGCGCATTCATATTCAACAGCTAAATGACAAAATAGAATTTGTCATTTGCCCTTAAATTGTAGCATTTCTTCCTCCCCATGACACCTATAGGGGGCTTCCCACCCCTCTACTGAGCAACACTGATCTTGGTGTGTTCCGTGGCTTTCTTCAAGGCCGGGGACTGTGGGAAGAGTCTTGACTTGGGAGAGATGTTTGATTTCTATGCGTGTGTTTAAAATTCTGCCGTGTTCTCTTTTTCCTTTAAAGGCACGAGTGACCCGTATGTAAAATTTAAGCTGAATGGGAAGACGCTGTACAAAAGCAAAGTCATATATAAGAACTTGAACCCTATTTGGGATGAGATAGTTGTGTTGCCAATACAAAGCCTCGATCAAAAGCTTCGTGTGAAGGTAATAATCCCGACAGCTTTCAAGTCGGCTCCTTTCTTCCAAATATTTATTCTTCGCTAGTTCCCAGGCCTCCTTAAAAGTGAACGTGCCTCTGTTAATCCCCTCATTTTTTTCCCCTGTGCCTGGATTGAAATAATAATACTGTAGGGGACATTTTTTTTCAGACTGTTTCTGAAACCGTGTTTCCCTCGAATCAAGGAGATACATAGGCTACGAAGCCGCCATGTAAATAATGTCCTTCTTGACTCTGTACTTACTCGGTGCAGAAGAATTATTACTGGCCCCGCAGTGGTGACAAGTGGGGACCATGTTCTCATTAGAAAGAACTTTATACTTAATAGAGCTCCGAGCTACCAGGTGTAGGCCTCAATTACGCCAACATCTGGGTTTAAACGGTACGAGTTGCGGGCAGAGTGGGATAGTTGCATCATAGCAAATTTCTCTTTAATTGGCAGAGCTGTTCACCATGGAAAATGCTAAGTTTTAATGAAAGGCCAATTAAACTATAGGCAGGGTCCGTTGTGTGTAATATTTTGTTGTATTAAAAGGTTCTTTTTTTGAACATGGCTGGTAAAATAGGCAAGGTATTTACCTGTGTAGGCTTGCTTGACCGTATTTTTCTTCAACGTCACTGTGCATTGTTGTAAGGACGGAAAGATGTATTTCCCAGTCCCCAGCCTGCTCTATGTGTGAGTCGTTTGATAAAGCCAGCCGGTGTGTATGGCCCTGGGTGCTAATGCCCTCCCTTTTCTCTAGGTGTACGATCGAGACTTAACCACATCTGACTTCATGGGTTCTGCCTTTGTCGTTCTCAGGGACCTTGAACTTAACAGGTATCATATTTTTACCTTGAATCATTATCAATGAATTGCAGGGAAGCAATGTTAAATTTGACAATGTCAGAGTTTTCCCCCCCTTCCCCAGAAAATTTATTTTCATTAAGTGTGGTTTTGTATTCTCCCACCCTGCCCTGTGTCTAACCTTTATGCAAAGATAGCAGACCCTTACCTTAAGCGTCGGATGGGTTATCAGGCCTGCGACGTTGCCAATTTATGTTAAAATCACGCGTTTTTGCTTGCAGGACTACTGAGCATGTTTTAAAACTGGAAGATCCGAACAGTTTGGAAGATGACATGGGAGTGATTGTGTTAAATCTGAACCTAAATGTAAAACAGGGCGATTTCAAGAGGCACGTAAGTGTGAACCTTTCTGGTGAACTTCCCCTTTGTGGTAGTTCTCTGATAGTTGAGCATCCGACGGGATGGCTGCCCACTGTACATTAAGAGGAAAAGTAAAACAATCACATCAAGTATCAGTATGTTATTATCAACATTCTTTCTCATGGACCACTGACTGACCAGACAACCTAGGGACTAAGAAGTTAATTGGCTAAAATATGGGCAGGATTATTATTGTACTGTGTGTATTTTGCCTGGATTTGAAATACAGCTTCCTTAAGTATCAGAGTTCGGTTTAGTAAGTTTTAGATTCTAGGCGACATTCACATATTCAGTTACTCAAGCCGTTCCCAGGATTTAATGATCGCGTCATGAATTACGAAGTGATCGAGTGTCCTCTTGCAATACGTCGGGTCCTTCGCCTGCTTTACTAGCCGTTGCTTTTTCAGCTGCTAACTTTTCCACTGGGTGTGCTTTTGCGAAAAATGCAAATCTGAGCGTTCCATATTCTATCACGTGGAAATTTCTCATTAACACGCTATATCGTGGCAACGCCTGCACCGTCAGTGAAGCGTTCGAGTTCGTTACGATAAGATAGAAAGTCTGCCCTAGCAAGTAAACACGCTGATGGAAATCATAATCTCATTTTCATATTCATGGATTGCACATCAGAATTCCAATAATTAAAATAAGAGCACAATGCATTTGATTACAGTTTACTGAATGATATTTTTAAAGCCAGCTAAAGAAGTTACTGGTGGGAGAATAGACGTGGTACAATTGAACCCACATGGAATCCCATATGAAAATCTGAAGCCTGTTTAGAAATTAGGCTTCTAATAACACCTCCTAAATCGACGTAGTCTTCATTCTAGCTGCTGCTTAATCTTTCTGCTGTAATTAATTTAATAATGAGGACCATAGCTAATTTACTAGAAGCTAGCTAGTAATAGAGGAGGAAAAGTGCACTAAGAAGCTTTCAGTTGTCACAGTATCAAGTAAACATTTTCTTTTTAAACTCTGAATTCCCTAAGTTAATTACCTAAAAATAAATAAATAAATAAATACAGGATAAAACTCTCCTTACTCTTAAGGTAGTTCACACTAGGGACCTCAAGGAAACTGTGACAATGATGAGGACAAGCATCATCATCTTTGTCCCTCTTGATCCAGGTTTTTTTTTTTTTTTTTTTTTTTTTTTTTTTTTTTTTTTTTTTTTTTTTTTTTTTTTTTTTTTTTTTTTTTTTTNTTTTTTTTTTTTTTTTTTTTTTTTTTACCCTCATTGTTAGCTTCTCATTGTTACTCCAGAACCATTGCTCTGGGTTCACTGTTCAAGTGGACAGTAGGTGATGGGTGCCTTGTGGTGTCTGCTAGGCTAAATTAACATACAATGTAAGTAGGTATTCGAACCAGGTGCCCACGATGGAACACTTAACAGCCCATGTGTTCTAAAAATTTCCTTGGGAACCTTTGTAAAGCTGATGTTGCCCATGAGAGTGGCTGTACCCTTTGAACTGTTACAAAGCGCACTGGATTATGCTCAGCAGTCTTCCCGCACTTCAGCCCTACCTAAATACCATCACGTTAGGAACGTTAAAGTACTGGCCATTTGATTTCAATTTAGCTCAAAATGCGGGACAAATACTGCAAGGAGCAGCTTGGAAATGCACTTGTGATAAATCTCAAAGCGTGTCTTTTCACAGTACCGAGATACCCACATCTTCATCTAACTTAGCCTGGCCCCTCTTAGGGCTTGAGCACAACTCAGCACCTCCTCTGTGGAGGTCGCCAGCATGTCTGCTTTTTGGTGTGTGCTCCTGAGGCATTGCCAGCAGAAGCCGAGTGTGCAGTTCATTTTACATAATGCGAAGGCAGCGTCCCAGAAAAACTGTCTCTCTCGTTTACTTTGCTTTGTAATTTCCCTTTTCTCTTTACATTCTCGATCTAAGCATAACCAACAGGCCCGGAAGGGATGAGTGGCTTGTTCTGAGCCATGTCTAGCCATTATAGATAGCCCTCCACTTACAGGACTATCGTGGTCCTTTTGAGAATACTAGTTAGAAGAAAAAAAAAGATGTTCTTTTTATTAAGCTTAAGTGGATATTAAGAGGCATATTCATGTTGGGTTTTTAAGGGGAAGTAACAAGTGCTTGAACCTAGAGGGCAGCAGATCTATGTGGTTAGAATGCTTGGTAATACATTGCCACTTATGTGTAAACTGTGGAAGGGTTCTACTTTGGATTCTCAGTTTTGCAACCATTTTTCTTGCCATCAGTGAGGCAAATTTTGTTGCTGTAGAACCAAAGTGACCAAATAAAAATCTTCAGCCCTCCTCTGTGTTGTACATCTGAGTGGGGTACATCACCCTGATTGAAAGCCCCAGTTAATTGTACTTTTTAAAAAAGAGGAATAAAGTCATAAATAAAACTGTGGCCTTTTTCTCAAACTGTCTGTGTTTGACTCCTAGATCTCCCATGACTCAGTCAAATCCACAGGGTCAGTTAAGCTCCCTAAGGAGATAAGAATGAGGGTACCCGTTTCTATAGCATCATGGAGATTAACATGACTAACTACGGTGCCAGGCATAATAGAAACATTCAGTATATGACAAATAAAGTTGATAGCATGTTAGTATCCTAATCTGGTTTTATATTTTGTGATGGCTACAAGAAAAATCGAGTCTTTCTACAAAAATATGGATTTACTTAGACAAGGGTGATCCTAAAGTGTTTAGTATCTTTTTAATTAGCTTTCAAAGTAGCAAATTAAGTGGCATAAATTGTGCATTGTTTTCTATTATTTTGGCTTTCAAATTCTAACCTATGCAAATAAACAGAATTTTGTTTTCTGTTGACAAAAACTATAATGACGCAAACACGAATCAGCATTAGTTAAGAATTTATAAACATTTTTGCAACAGCACCTAAACATTGTAAGTATAAGTAGGAAAAACCTGACCCTCCTTTTTGGAGATAAAATGATACTATGTAATTAATTAAAAAATGCTATTCACATAGGATGATATTGTCTGCCAATGCTGATACGCTCTGAAGGCTCCAAGAAAAGGATGTGTGTAGCCATCTAAGCGTGGTTTGCCTTTCTTTGTTTTCTTGTTTACAAGAGCTTTTCACGGGAGGGTAACTTCCAGATTTGGGAGTTAATAACCTGAATAGAATATGCAACATATGTAATGTAAAAGAGTTTAATTGTATTATAAATAACCCACTGTTCTTCTGTTTCATTTTAATATCGTCACTCTACAATGAAGCGTTGGTCAAATCGGAAGCGGTTAAGTGCCAGCAAGGTAAATTTCCTTGTTTTTTTTTTTTTTAAATCTGTATATCATAAAACTATATATTTCCACAAATGCATTCATATATATATACATACATATATGTGCCTACATTTGTAAAATTAGTATCATTCAGACATGATTTGTGTAAGCGTTCTGTACCTCTTATTTTAATAAATAAAACGGAAGGGCCTTTCTTTAGTGAGGGCATGGCCAGATGTTGGAAGTCGCACTTGTTTGGGTAGTGACATTTTATATGTACCAGTCATGTTAGGATTTTACACTTCATTAAGCTTGGAGCACTTAGATTGTGGCTGGCACAGTTAGACGCTGTCCCTTCAGGGGGTTATTTTCCATGAGAAGCTAACGTGAGTCCTCCAGGGGCAACGTGAAGACCAGAAGAGTATGTGGCAGCCATTCTCGGTCTCCTCCATATCTCCTGGGACAAAACTAGTTCTCAGTGGATAGCGGTAATATTTTAAATATATCTTCACAAGGTACTAGTGGGTTTTACAACATTAATATATCTAAGCAACAGTATGATATTTCACAGTTTATACAAGTGGGAATACTAATAAAAATTTTGGAATTTAATCATTTATTAAGTTAGTAAATTAGAAAATAATAAATTGGGTAACTAAACGTGAGGATCATTCTAGAAGTAACCCCCTCCAAAGTTTTTTTTTTTTTTTTTTTTTACCTCAAGTTAGCATTTTTTACTACTTTAGCAAGAGAGAGAATTCTGGTTAAATGATATGGTACTTCAGGCTCTTAGTCTAATTTGATTTCTGAATTTGGGGCCTGATCCATGCTTGTTGTAGAAAGAAGTTATGCAGGCAGTCATATCTATATGCATGAGTATGTGTGTGTATGTGTGTGTGTATATGTATATGATGCACACACACGCATACACTTTCTAAAGTTTTACTGTATAATACCTAGTTGACTACTTTCTTATACAATATGGAGTCTGTATCACTAACAAGAATTATTAATATTTCTGAGGAAGAGAGAAGAGAGAGGAGAGGGAGAGGGGAGAGAGAGAGAGGGGAGAGAAAAAGACTAAGACTATCTTGCATTTAGAAATCCCTAGGAGCCAATGTTCTGATACCACACGCTGACTATACTGTATCCACACTAACTAAAGTGTATCTGCATTTTGAGCATGTAAACAGAATCATGAAAGGGTCACGGGTCATCCTCTAATGTCACTGGGTTTCTTGTACTCTGGTCTGTGTTCAGAAACAGGTAAGGGAGAAGGCAAGATAAAGAATGGTGGGCTGCAATCTCAAGCATTCTCCACCTTTGCCTTATTCCTTTATAGTCACTAGAGGGTAGGAGAACATCATTTCTCACCACAGAAGGGCGTCCAGCTCTCTCTCTCTCTGTATTAAGAGTTGCTGTAACCACCCAAAGCCGTAAAGTTTCCCAGAATGCCTTGGTGAAGCCTGACAATGCAGTATTTTCTCCTTTATTGATTCGGCTGCGGCACTAAAACACCGGGACTGTACATCAATAACCATCTTTAGTTAGGGAGCTCCAGTCTGTGGAAGAGCACGGGCAGTTTGTGGGGGAACATAAAGGCGAGAAGCAGAAATTGTGAGCCTGGGGAATATCGGAGTCTAGGGAGGACAGGAGAGGTTATGGAACAATGGCCCAAGGAACGAAGAGGGGCAGGAAAACCGCCGACGGCTTGGATAAAGATATCAAAATTATGAAGGGGACAGAGGATCCGGAGGGCAGTATTTATATATAGATACTATAGAGTTATGTGTTGAGGCTGAGCTATTGCTCTTATTTTTCTCTTTCTGGAATTTTGACTTCAGTGTGCCGGGCTCAGGAATGTCATAAATGCCCAAAGCCACTGCATATGTTTAATAAAATTCCAGACAAGTAAAGCTTGGTGAACACTAGAAATACGCGAGACCTGGCCTGGAGATTATACATTGGTGAGCACCTAATGGGGATGCTGCTTCCTTTGCGTCCGAAAGTACGCAGTCAAGGAGGAAAGTGAGATGGCTTGTTATCTGGCTTACAATAAAGAGTCACAGGGGAATTATACACCCACTGATATTAATTTTGTATAAGCATGGATAAAAGTCTCTGATCATCTATCTTTTGATATCTTTAAACCACAAATTTCTTATTTAAAATGGTATTTTGCTATTTTGTCTGTGTAACGTTTGCTGCATTTCTATCTGTACACCCCATGCGTGTCTAGTGCTGCAGGAGGCCAGGGGAGGGAGCTGAGCCCCCTGAAATTGAGTTACAGATGGTTGTGAGCTGCCAAGTAGGTGCTGGGTATTGACCTTGGAGCCTCTAGAAAAGTGCTTCCTCACCCATGGGTCAGGTTGCAACCCCTTTAGGGTGTGATTCTTTCACAGGGACCACATATCAGATCTCCTGCATATAAGATATTTACACTGTAATTCATAACAGCAGTAAAATTACAGTTATGAAGCACAGTGACATAAATTTATGGTTGGGGAACACTGCAATATGAGGAAGTATATTAGAGGGCCCCAGCATTAGAAAGGTTGAGGCCAACTGCTCTAGAAGAACAGGCAATGCACTTAACTACTGAGCCATTTCTCCACCTTGTACTTTCATATTAGACTTAATGTTAGGAAATACCTGATAGAAAGAATACTTAGCTATGCATATAGAAAACAGTGTTTCTGTGCTACCTATGGCATAACAAGGATTTCAGTCTCAACCTGCCTCATATGACAACTTCATTTAAAGACTTGCTTCTTTTTCTCTGTAACTTCACTTCTGTGCTACCAGAAATGTTCCTGAATAAGTGTATCTTTGTGGCTCATTTTAAAAATATGTCTCTGAAATTTCGCCCTAGATTTCAGTGTGATGGATAGATAAGGATGGCATTTAAGACAGGCTTAGCTTCCTCCCAGAAAATCTTTTCAAATGAGCATCTGATGGAGTATCTGGGGTTTGATGTAATAGGCCATGGATTAGCATCTACATTTCTCGCACTGTTGCAGTGTGGTACCCACTGTGGCCAGGGCTGCTCCAAGCCTCACTTCGGTGTACCGTGATGCCTGCCGCAGCTCTACACAATCCTGAGCAGGATTGGGGGGCATGATGTGAAATTTCCGAAGAATCGCTAAGCAATTATGTTTAAAAGAAGAAGAAGAAGAAGAAGAAGAAGAAGAAGAAGAAGAAGAAGAGGAGGAGGAGGAGGAGGAGGAGGAGGAGGAGGAAGAAGAAGAAGAAGAAGAAGAAGAAGAAGAAGAAGAAGAAGAAGAAGAAGAAGAAGAAGAAGAAGAAGAAGAAGAAAAAGAAGAAGAAGAAGAAAAAGAAGAAAAAAAGAAGAAGCAGAAGCAAGGGGCCGAAGACAGACTATGTTTCCTGAATTACTCGAGTGAGCAGAGTGGTTCCTGTTTGTCAGTGTGTTCATTTCATCTGCACGCTCTTCAATGTCTGTGCATAGTAACACTGTTGCACTATTCATTCCTTTGTTAAATTCAAAGCTCTGGAATTATGCATTCAGACTGCAACAGATATTTTAGTCCATAAAGATCTATCTCTACATATCAGGATGCTTATTGTATTCTGATCTAATGCATCTGTGTATCTCTACCTAATCTCTCCAAAGTATGTATTATATGTCATCTATCACTCTACTCTCTCTAGGTTTTTTTTTTTAACTTTTGATGATAAAAATAGAACCCCAGGTCTTAGGCTAAATACACACTCTATGACTGAGCTCTACCCTTGACCTGTATCTGTTTATTCTGTCTGTTGTCTGTGCCTCTAGACGAGGTCCTACATAGACCCAAGGTGAGTGTCTCTACTCTGACCTCCTACTGTCCTAAAGCAGCCAAGGTCACTGTGAGACTGGAAACAGTGACCTCTGTGCTTTCTCCTGGTTTCTGGAGGCTAACCATTCTCAGGTTAGGCTGTCAATCTGCTAGAGCACGGTAAGCTCATATGAGGAGAGAGTCAGGGCACCATCTTCCAAGCCGCCTCATCACGACCGCCTTCTCAGTAGCGTTAGATTCAGTCTTACACCAAAATTCGTCAGGGGGCAGCCTTACAGTGGGCATGCTGTTCTCGAGTGTAATTGTGAATTAGAGAATTTGCATGTGTGGTTGCGAGTATTCAGGGTCCTACAGCAGGACTCTCTCTTAGTCCTGCCGGTGGGTGGGGAGAGCCCAGGTTTCTGCACCGAGAAATTTTCAGAAGACTAAAGTGACCGTTAGTAAGTGAGACACGGCAGCATGGAGGTGTGACCACTCAAAGTAACGTAACGGAGTCCCTCCAGGAGCCGGAGATCATACCAGACGGCCTCAAACAACCTGTGCTCCTCAGTGTAACCCACGGACCAGTCACGGCTAGGGTTTGTTACAATTATTTCAAAAGTCTATTTTTAAAGCTTTCTTTGTAAGTTTTTGAGACAGGTTTTCATTATGTAGCTGTGACCAATCTAAAACCCATTATGTAGATGAAATTAGCCTTAAAATTATACAGCTCCTCCTACATCCGTCTCCTTCCACCTCCCCACAAGGACTGAGATTATGGGTATGCACTGCCATGCCCACTTTAAATGCAACTTCTCCGTTCCCATTTGTTTTCACTTCTCGAATCAAAATCTCTGCTAACTAGTACCAGCTGTCTTAACTAGCCCTCCAGGTAGCTACAAAGCATACTCCAGTCTGAGAGCCATTGACATGAGATAAAAAAAAAAAAAAGTGTGGTAGGCTCCTGGAGATAGTGGAAGTTGAAAGTAGAGAGGTCAGGAAAGGTAAATGATATGGTCGGTGGCTCTACCTGCTATCTCTTGGAGGATAGGAGCAGGGCTGGGGTTAAGATGCTGCAAGGAGGTGTCAGGGGGCAAAACAAGAAGATGCTCGGCATCCGACACTAGCCCAGCGCTTTCAGACACCTAAGAATGAGACCCGCAATGCATCCTTTAGTTTAGGTCCAGAATATGGGAGCATTTGCTATATTTTAAATGAAGACAAGAAGGAGGGACACAGAACAGACTGGAAGTCTAAGGCAGTTGACATAACAATTAAATACTAGATTATAACTAGTGCTGTACAATGTTTGAGTTCCCTGGAGGCCAGGGCAAAGGAATAACCTCATGGATCATGTGACCTTCATCTTTTTTCCCTGGCCATAAGAGAAAATGTATATTCCTTCTCCCAAATTCAGAGTCGCTGAGCACTTACAGACCTTGTCTGTTTATTAAATCTTTTCTTAATTTAGCTTTTAGTTTCCAGTAGAAAACATGAGTGATAATATTTTTCTTATAACTAAGAACATGAAATGAATACATCTCTTCTATAACTTTATACACTCAGTGTTAATATTTGCATCTACAAATACTGATCTCAACCTCCATGCGTACACACGTGTGGGAAATGTAGACTGGTTCCTTTGTGTCCTTATGTGAGGACCCAGGACCCTCTTCAGACGACGTAAGGAGCTGCAGACGAGGACCTGTTCTGGGAGCTGGTCCCCTGCATGCATGGATCTGGTCCCATTGTGCTATAAAGCTGCTGACAGGCAGCAGTAGTTTTACATGTTGAGAACACTTGAATATTTCAGCGAGCTCTTTTACAGACCGAGCGCTTTCCCTCAGCTCTGCAAAGCAGCAGTCACCAGGGCTGGGGCCTGCTTTGCTGGTCGTTTTTCTTACAGAGGTGGTTGATTGTTTTTTCTCATGCATTTGCTTTTGTCGGCTCCCTATGTTGTTGAGAGACCTTAGGAATGTAAAGGATAGGTCAAGAATAGGATCTGCCGGCGACGCAAGGTTATTACTCTGCCATCACTGAAAAGATTAAAAGATAATAAAAAATGAAAAACCACGCTCGCTTCTGCTTTTTCTTGTTACTCTATTACATTTATGTGTTTGTTTGCTTGTTTATTTATTGTGTACACGTGGCATTTATGTGTGTGGCATCTGAGCATGTGTGTGTGAGTGGGGCATGTGTGCCTGTGTGGAGGTCCGTGGAAACCTTTTGCCTGCCATGCTTTCTTATTCTGTGCATTATTCCCTTGAGACATTGTCTCACTGCGCCTAAAACTAATCCTTTGCCCTAAATTGGCTGGCAGTTTAGTCCTAGCCACCTACACAGCCATCATTTCGGATATCCATGACCCTGCCATTTTTTTTAATGTGGGCGCCGTGCTGAGGATCTGAACTTGTGCCCCTATGCTTGCAAAACAAGTACCTCGAACCCCTGAACCATCTCCCCAGCTCCTCATGCTCCTTTTCTTCCTTTTCCTTCCCTTTTGTTTCTTCTCTCTATCTCTCTGATGTCCCTCAGCACATTCCATTCTGGAGCTCGCAGGAAACAGCTGGATACTGGCTTGCTGTTGATGGTCATAGACGATCCTCTTCGCTCTTAACTCCATGTTCTACCATGACCTTGTGCTTCCCTCATCAATTAATGGCACCAAACTGCAATCCACTATATAAACCCCGAATAAACACATTCACTTTGAGACTCCATTCCTGGATGGGAACCTTCTGAGGTTCTAGAGCGAATCTCGGCATCTCCTTGAAGTGAGCAGGAGTTCCTTTGCTTCCCACTGAACTCTGGGTGCGGGCTTCTCATGACTTAAGAAGTAAAGACATCTTTGGAGGGTTGCTCCATTCGCATGAAAACAAGCATGCTTAATAAGCTGAGTACCACACCTTGTTTTTATTTTCCTACTTTCAATGGCCATCCTTTTTTTCTTTTTCTTGCTGAGAAGAATGACTGTGGATCCCAGGGAGTGGGGCCAGACACGGAGAGATGAATGGATCACATAGAAATACTAAAAGGTTCTGATCCTTGGGGAGGAAGTAGGAAAATAGCACAACCCTGATGCACTATATTTTATCCCTCCTGTCTGTGGAGGAATTAGGGTCAGGACCCAGAAACTTTGCTCTATCAGCTGGTGTTTGTTTCAGCTCAGGTGGGGTGGGCTTCCCCTTTGAAGGGTCATTTCCTCCTTTCCTATCGTATTCCAGGCTGCATTAAGATGACAAATTCCCCCTTAAAGGCAGGGACAGAGACATGAAAACCTGAGCTATTCAGCTAACTGAGTAAGTGCAGATGAACCTATTTATTGTGGGGGAGAAAGGGGATGTTTGAAGAACAAAATAGGTTCTGCTAACCGGGCTGTGCTGTAGAGTACACACAGGATGCCTGGTTCTGTCATGTTCTGTCTCTTCTCTTTGGGAAGGCAAGTCTAAAGAATGTCTTTAGATCACACACAAGTACGCAGAGTGTGGGACATGTAAGCGAAATGTTTTCTAAGGTCAAATAAGTAGAGTAAAAGTCTAACTTTCTTATCTGTGAAACCTGTAATAAATAATTCTCTCCCACCCTGCATTTAGAAGGGAGGGGTGAAGAAAAAAGAAAAAAGAAAAGAAAAGAAAACTTGGCCAGTGGACGAGCAAGTCTATCAGATCAAGCACGACTGTGTTAAATACTAAAATGTTCAAAGTCCAACTGAGATAGATAAAGGCTTTGATGGAAAGAGGATATTTCCCAGGGACATTACAAGCCATAATCCAGATGTTATGGTGTAATGCAACGAGTGTCCATGGATAGATCAGGAGCTTCAGCCAAAGCGCGCCTGGTGCAGGCCCCAGTCTTGCCCTCCCATGCTGTTCTGCCATATGGAACCCATCTCCAGCCCCCTTAATAACCAGCTTTGGATTCCATTTTCACAGAGCTCATAGAGCTAAGTGGGGCTGCTTTATGGACAAGTTAGATAGAGGCCTTTCCAAGATAAACATCCAATTTGAAATTAGGACATACTGCACCGCAAAATTATTTTAGGGCATATTTCATGGACATGCTGCCATTTTTCTTAGGCAATTGCCAGACTGTAGGATGCCCTTTGATCCTCTGTGGACATTACTCCCTGTTTTATAAAAGGGATTTTGAAATAGTTGTACTGTGGAGGGAGGAATATATCTGTCGGAACTTTGAAGCATGGCCATGGGACAGGTCATGCTTTAGATTGTTGGGTAGAAGTCAAACTTTTAAGAAAGAAAAGACAGCAAAAGGAGGAATTACAGCCAGACTTATGAATCAAAATCTCATTTTTCCTTTAATGGCACACAGGTCAGCCTGTGAACTCAATCAGCTGTAAATCTGATTGCATATTCTGTGTTTGTATGTACATCTGTGGATGTGGACACACATAGATATACGTCTGTGATATGTGCTACTTTTGTGGTGTGATTTTTTTTAACAAAGTCACCTAGTTTAAACTGTTTTGTATCTTTTTAAAATTGAATATATTATAAAGAAGACCAAGTGACAATTGGGGGTTAAGACATAATCCTTGTTTACTGGGAGGGTAGTTTCTTTCCTATTTAATTGTTTTCCAATTTGCATGTTCTAGTCTGCATTAGAATCTTTAAATCAGTTTCTTTCTCTCTCTCTCTTTTTTTCTCTCACGTGTGTATATGTGTGCATGTCTGTGTGTGTTGTGTGTGTGTCTGTATGAAGAAAATCCTTATGATCATCATGGTTAAAGTTGGAAGCACATCTTTCCTTAAAAATAATTTTGTTTATGGTTATCATACAGTGTTCAGTAAAATCCAGAGTGGCATGGATACAAGTCTTGAGAATGGTGGGGTGACATAGTTGGATCGAGTAAGCTGGTATATTATTATTATAGACCTAACTTACTACTTGTTAGGATAAACTGTGACTGCCTAGTGTTTGAACAAATTGGCGTCTAAATGATGACAAAGACATAGTAAGCAGATGAGGGGAATGCCTACACGGAGTTAGCCGCGCCTTGCTTTGTTCTGATGCTCAGTTCTATTGACATTTCTTCTGTCTAGTGGTTCTTCCTCTAAAGAAAAAGTATATACTTGTTTCAATTCGCTAATCAAGCAGAGTTTGGAAATGAGCTCTGCCATCTACGTGGAGCATATCAATCAGATGGGACTCTCAGCTCAAGCAGCTAAGTAGGGAGAGACTACTGAGAGGTCAGGGCAATGTAAGCTTCACAGGGGCTAAACAATGCTAACGGGATGATGGTTCATTTGGTTGAGTATAATTGTGGCATTTTGGGTTTATAAAAATAAATGTTTTTTTTTTCCTGAAATATTTTAGAGAGACATACTGATGAAGGGCTAAGTCCACTTGTTGTTTGCACCTGCCTTTTGCTTAATTAGAAGCAAGTCACAGAACTGGGAGCATGGATTTGCAAAACCAACGAATATCAAGGCTTTTCTCCAAGGCAGGAGTAACTTCAGGCTGAAACAGGGAGGGCTGGGATTCCCGTTGAATGCCAGACTCACTTTCAAGAGCAATCAGTCTGTTTACAAGCCATTTTGTTTATTTATTTATTTCTAGTCCTCTTTGATCCGCAACCTCCGGCTCTCAGAGTCCCTGAGAAAAAACCAACTCTGGAATGGGATTATAAGTATAACGCTGTTGGAAGGGAAGAATGTCTCAGGAGGGAATATGACAGAGATGTTTGTTCAGTTAAAACTGGGAGACCAGAGATACAAAAGCAAGGTAAGTTCTGTTAATGAGACCAGGAGGATATTATCTTTCCAAGCGATAAAGATAAAAGTTTTCCCACTTGATATTTCTCAAGAGTGGAGCCAACTTATTTTTAGCTTCTCCCCAGTCATGTTAAGCAGCGTCCCAGAAAACAAAACAATTGTATAGATTAACTAAACTGATATAGGTATCACCTAGTGTCATTTCTTTACAGAGTATTTCAGAGGTAAATAATTAATTTTCATGTACTTCGGAAATAAAGAAAGCTTATTAAATCATAGTGCACCTATCCTTGGATGCTTTTCCAAAACGTCGAATTGTTTTTTTCTTTTGGTTTTGCTAGATGCATGAGCTTGAGAATATGCAATGTGGGCTTCAAAGTTTGTAGGTAAAAAGTAGTCGAGTTGTCTTCATTATTCTAAAATAAAGCAACATACTACTTGATAACATTAAAATGTTGGAGATAAGTAAAAATAGTTTCAAAATTGTATGTTTGTTACCTTGTTAGTCTTAGCACCAAAACTAGATATTTGGTGTTTCTGGTTTTTTTTTTTCCACCGAAGAAAATAAATCACATAAAGTAGTATTAAAAAATAACAGTGCTTTAAAAATAAGTTGTCTGATTCTGCCAATCCAAATGTCATATAGTTTTGAATCTTAGTAATTTGGCATGAATTGAATTTAAAAACAATGCTTTTTAAACCATGGAAATTAATTAGTCTCCATCTTTATATAACTATTTTATGACTACCAGATAGAAATATTTTTCATGTTTTATGAATTAAAGGGACTAGGGCAGTTGACAGTTATGCCACTTGTCAATGGCCAGTTAACAAAAAGCAAAACAAAACAAAAAAACAATTCTAGGTTTTGAAAAAGCTTCCAAGGATAGGTGCACTGGGGTTCCTGGCATCTAGGAAGCAATCAAACAGACACAGACAACTTGGAAAAGGCAAGAAATTGGGTGCTGCCTAAATTTCAGTGCAAAAAAAATCCAACATCAGACATCCTTCACTTCAGCATAAAGGGGAAGGGAAGGCACACAGCGAACAAGTGTGCACAATGAATGGAAAAGCGAGAGTGAGGGAGACCTGAAATATATAGAGAATCATTCCTAGCAAATCATTTCAAATAGAACGGAAAGATCACTTCCCGCCACTGAGAAATCTTTAGCCACTCACGGTCAGGCTACGGATTTCTGGAAAGCTTACTCATCTCTATGATGGTTAGCTATTCAGGAGGAGGTGAAAAGTAGAGTTAGACCAATGTCTAGCACATTCCCTGTGGGAAACACTCAATTAGATTTTCATTTCTAAGACATATTTTTCTTCTTGGGATCTAAATTCTATGATCTGATATGACAAAAAAAGGTATAAAACCCAGCCCAAATACGTTTATATGATATGATAGCAGCTGAGGTGTGAGCTGCTGTGCTTTTTCTTGTGTGGGCGTAGTTGGTGCTGATTTAAGAGGTAATCTGTGGGCTTAGAGCCCCGACTCAGACACCAGTGCTCAAGATGCTTAATCACAAACCGAATCTCTATAAAAGGAAGAAAAATGGAGATCCTGTCAGCAAAGTCAGCAAAGCCACCCCATAGGCAATTTGTTCACACTTGGACGATGCAGGAGCATGTGTTTCATTTTCTATAACTGGTTAATCTTCAAACATGGTAAAGTGGAACTGTCTTGTTTTCCCTTTGCCAAAGCATAGCGAGTCAGTATCTTTGGACTTAGAAGTAGACAGTTCTGTGCTACCATATATAATGGAGTTCATATGTAATATGTTCAAAAAATGTTAATTAAGCTCACAAAGTGTTAGCTTTTCTGATGTTTAGGCTGTGTCTGATACACGCACCAGCACAAACATTGTTTGCATTTGACACAACAGTTGCAAATGCCACCTTCTGTAGGAACTAGCCCCTGTAGGCTCTTTGTATATAGTCACTTAGTATATAGTTCGTGTGGCTTTTACAGTTTCTTATGGTGCTCTTTTTGATGTGCTGGAGAAATTGCTACATATGTTGCTAAATCTCGAGTCCACAAGGGTCCCTTTTTATCCCGGATGTTAAGTGTATCTTGTTAAGAGATTGCGCCCCCTCATGGTGACTTACTGCCCAGTAGACATGCCGTGAATGTGTAGCTGCTGTAGCCATGAGCGACCTGCTGAGAAAGTAAAACCCTATAACCGCATGTTTTCTAGACACTGTGTAAGAGTGCAAACCCGCAATGGCAGGAACAGTTTGACTTTCACTACTTCTCTGACAGGATGGGCATTTTGGACATTGAAGTGTGGGGAAAGGACAGGAAAAAGCACGAGGAGCGACTGGGCACGTGAGTCACTCTGCTACTAAGGGGGGGGGGAGGGGGCGGGAGCTCCTAACTGTACAATGGCTAGCTCTGAAAGAATGTCTTGCCTGTTTGTGTTGGGAGTGGGCACCGATCTCCACCCTCAAGGAATAAGCAGTAAGCTGGGCAGCCACTTAGTGTGGGAGGGGTGTCAGCTTTCTAGCTGGTAAATGCAACTCAGTATTTGAATCAGGCTTTAAAAATAAGAAACTAGAGTTGCTCCTCCTCGTCTACGGGGAGGTCATTCCCGGAACTCATGATGATAATAACATCCTCAAAGGTCAGAGTGCATGGGGCATGTGTCATATTTGTATTTAGGTACTACAGACACTTGCTCATCTTACATCATCTTTGTCTCTGGGTTGCAAATGATATCTAACATAGTGTAAAAAGCTAAGTAAATTGTTGTTAGGTCCCAGGTGACTTCATGTCGTTCCTATGGACTATAGGCATATTCTTTAAAGCAACCATTGTATCCAAGGTTGGTTGCATCCACGCATGTGGACGCTGTGTGTTCAAAGTGCCCACTGCAATCTGTGAGCCAAGAAGTCTCCAGCATGTTATGTGCTGTCTCAGACCATTGGGACATATCTGTAAACACTTACAGGATTTCATTTTAATTTTGCAATGTATCATGTGATTGAGTAGACGAAGAAGGTGAGTTGTTCCCCAGGATAGAAGTGTTTCAATGTCTTTGATGGGTCCGGTGACAAACTATCATGGAGTCTGAAGCAACAAAAGCTGTCCTGTTTATTTGATTACTTGGGAGGGAGGTGGTCTCAAGCAAACAACTCAATTGATGTGGTCGCCCGCGGGTGACATAATGACATGAGAATTATAGTTTGTTCATAGGATAGTAGTAAGGAATACAATAAAATCTCAAACACTGTGCCTGGACTGTTGTGGACACAAAGGAAACCCTTGAAGAAGTTCACCTTACTTCTGATCTCAGGCAGCTGAGCCCTGCCAGTGAAGGAGAGCAAGTCGTCCAATGCCTTGGGCTTGAGGACAGTGAATTCCAGGGCCAGGATTGGGGGCTTTAAGGATCCAGTTATTTATATCAAATCCCTTTAGTTTTCCCCCGAGAAGCATAGCTTGTATACATATCTTCAATGATGAACACGGATGCGTAAAGGGATACCAGCAGCTATTTTCACTGCTAGCTTCCAGTCTGAAGCCTCAGCTCCCGGCTATGATCTGAGCCACCACTGGGGGAGGAGAAGGGTGCCTTCACCTCTCCGATGTAGTCAGTACACCTTGGTATTTGGGATTCCAGCCAAGGACAAGGCTTTAGTACTCAAAACGAAAGATTAACGTAATTTATCTGCTATAACCCATTCGTTTTACAGTGAGGGATTGCAGAGAGAACAGTAAGAAGTTCCGAGGGAGACTTGGCATGAGGCCAGCTAAGCACTCCTTCAGAGAATTGCCTTTCTGCAGGCCGTTTTTGGTATAGGACGTTGGACCTGGCAATGCCGTGTTAACCCTTCTTGCTGTCTGCATCTCACCATTCCTGGGGCAGTTGCAAGAGGAATTAAACACCCACTGAATTCCCCCTCTTGTTTCTCAACACAGCTGTCCTGTTATGTGGTGTTCCCCGGCATATAACGAGATACTGGTAGCAGACTGGCTGGTTGTCATCCACCTGACAACAATTACTTCCCACAATTCTACAGAGACAGGCATATGCCTCTCTGCACACGATGTCTGCATTCCATTTATGCATGGCCAGGTACCCTCTAAGGGAACAGCCAACCAGAAGCTATGGCAGTTTCTGCCTTTCACCCTGTACCTGCTGAGCACATTTGGCATTGCCTCGCACCATCTTCCCTGCTGCCCATCTGTTAGGCAGCACCGGTGGCTTTCCTAAGTCCGCTGGACCAACTGGGTGCATCGCATAGCGTGCTGAGTCATTCCACGTAGCCTAGATCCGGCAGGTGTGGGTTTGTCAGTCACTTCATGTCCAGTTACTAATCTAGCCTTGCTTCTTTCTCCCCTGCCCACGCATGGGAACTGAAGTCCTCAGACACTTCCTACGTCCGACATCCTCGGCGCTCTGACACGTCACAGCCCTGCCACTATCAAGGGCAGAAGGATCAGAACGTTGGGAGTGTGGCTAAGTTAGGAAACTCAGAGAACTCTGAGTCCCTAAATGTTATCTGTGCAGAGGGTACTCAGGCCTCCAGTGATGAATGGCCCAGGGTTATTTTAGTGGGTGCAAATAATAATGCCTTGTATGTCCCATGTCACTGCATTGTCACGTTTCCGTCACATAATAGGAAATGCTCTTCCAAACGAGTGTTACGGGGCTTCACAGAAACAAAAAATAACCAGAAATGTCCTGTATGGTCTGTGTTTTGCCATTCAAATGTTCATTTATTATTTTAGACATTTCCTGTTTGTAACTGAGATGTCTACCTGTCATCTCATCAGTCTGTCCTTCCTCTGTATGGTTGGAAAGGGTTTTTGTTTCTTTTGGGGGGCATCCTTTTCCTTTTCCCCCTCTTGCAATTCAAAAGATAACAAAAGTATCTCTTGGGAGCCCAGGCTCTGGACAGCATTGCATTGCAGTGAATAGAGGTGTACCTAACTAAGTCTTTACTCATGTAGAATACTCCATCTCAGATTTAATGGAGACATAATGACAGGACAAGGTGCCCTGGATTTTGTAATCCTAACACTCAGGTGGCTAAACTGGGAGGATTGTAAATTTTAGGCCACCCTGGGCTACCCAGCAAAACCCTGTCTCATAAACAAACAAAACCACAAACCATTGTGCTAGCGTGCAGTTATTTCTGGCAAGTTGCTTGTAGACCATTCTTATGATTTTCTGTTTTTAACTTCAACTTAAAAAAATTAGTTAGCAGTGTCTGTTTGTGCGGGTTTGCATATGTCAAGACGCTCACCTGGAGGTCAGAGGACAACTTCCAGGGCTTGAATCTCTTCTTCCACCATGGGCTCACAGATTCAAACTCAGATCATAAGGCTTGTACAAGTACCTTTAAAAGTGCCCTTACCTACTGAGCCATTCCCATGAGCCTACATTTTCAACATTTTTGTCCCCTCCCCGACAGTTTATTTACCTTGTATTGTTTACTTGGAGACTTAGCTATTGTTACTTCAACTATTCAAAAGTCGAAGAGTCTTTAGCAGGGTAAACAAATGCTCGTTGTCTCCCAAGACCCCTCTTCCACTTTATTTTGGAGAGTAGCGTCATGTTAATACTTTCAAACCCCTCGAAGGAAGTTCTCCTTGGTGAGGAGTCCCATTGCAGATAGTTTGATATGGGGAAGAAACACCACACTTGGGGGGTTACTATGTGGTTTTAGTAATGAACCTACTGTGTGTCTGACTGTTTTGCCATATAATGGAGTCCATGGCCAACATTCAGAACATAAACAGTGGCATATCCATTGACATAGTCTACAGTGGGCATTACATCAGTGTTAGTAATTTTGGAAATTTTCTGCATGGCAACTATAGATCTCTATAAAATTTAAAAATGAAATTATTTAGTTCAAGTAAATTAATTATATGCAGTAAAATTCAGTATGTTTTTCAAAATATAGACTTTATGTAAATAAGTATATTTATATATGTGCTTTGCTTATAGGAGCTGGGGTCACATACACAATGGTGATCTTTAGATTGTCTCGTCTCTCCATCTATGTTCTGAGGCTTTCTAGAGTCCGGATTCTCTTTTGCCATAGCATACCCACCCACAGATTCTACCTGACATTCAGGTAGAATGAAGACGGAGTTAATGGAGTCCCGAAGATGACCATGTTTTCGGCGAGAGCCAGCCTCCCTTGAAATCACGTTGCCTAACTCACTGTATTTTTATTGGCAAAGCAACTATAAAAAGAAATGGTCAGCTCTGAGGCACAGAGAGTGAACTCTCTAGGAAAGGAGGGCATAAACCCAAGAGAAACCAGTCCCAGCTATGTGTGCATGCATTACAATATAGCTAGCAATACAAGCAAGTAGCAAGCTCCAGGAATGCTCCTACTCTGGGCTCCCAGCACAGAGTTAGTTGTAAACACCATGCCCAGCTTTTATGTATGTACCGAGGATCTGGAGTCCTCCTGCTTGAACGACAGTCCCTTTATCCACTTGGCCACCCTCCAGACTCTGTTGCTAATGAAATGAAAAAAAGTATAAAGGAAAGATGAATATCAATTATTCTATTGTTTTGTGCTGTTCCAAAGAAATCACTTTCTTAATGGATATGTTCCATTTCAAGGTGAAGGTAGAGATTCTGTTTCATACAGTATTCTAAACCCCGTTTGCAAAGGCTGGCACCAAGAATGCACGCTCCTGTTTTGATCTGCCTCGCGGTCATTCCTCGGTCCCAGATGGTGCCTTAAAGTGGCTCTGACATCCTACCAGTTTATTAGTGGCTTTGCAACAGTGAACAATCCGGGCTGGAATATTTCTCTGGACAAATTGCAGCCCGTGTCGTTGATCTGCTTTTACAACCGGGCTTGACACATTCCCCGTTCCCTTCCTGTTCGCCACTTCCTCAGCTGCGGAGATTTACAGCTTCTCGAGCCCTAGCACTCTTTCCTGCCCCTTGCATTTAAGCTAAAAGCCGACCAGTCTGTAATATAAAACATGGAATTATGGTAATGAAGGAGAGGTTAAAAGCTACCACGGCGAGTCAAAGGTTGGGCCGGTTTGGCTGACTGATATGGTAAAATTATGTGTTGAATTAAAACATTAAAATGTTGTGGGATTAATGCAGAAAGACAGGAACAGGAGGTCAGAAACAATGCTAATTCAGCACTTTAACAGCCTGCCGTGAAAGAGGGAAGCTCTAATAAATGTCAGGAAAATAATAAGAGTAATCTAGTCTTTGTTTTCTTCAGGTGGGTAGAACTGTGATCTTAACCTCAAGCTCAGGACATCCATTTACTGCAGGTGTTTTCTAGACAGGGGAGGCACAGTGAGAGTGAAATCATGAGACAAAGGGACAGGTTTGGATCATTTGTGACTGGGGGTGTAGTTGTTCATACCCCTTTGGCCATTGTTTGAGCGTTCTTTGTATCCACCAGTGCAAAACCCTCTTGTGTGCTGGGCAGGCTTCAACAAAGTGAGGGTTCATTATGAAATAATGGAGGTGAATCTCCTGCCCTTAAGCACTAAGTTTTGGCCTCTGCAAGTAGCCAACAGTGACTCTTCCATTGGTAAGAAGATTGTGGATTCCAGAAGCATGCAAATGACCTTGGGTTTCTGGCTAAAAGTAGACAGAGTTCCAGGGACAGTGTGACATAAGCAGAGCTTTGTAAAAATGAGTGCCTGAAGATAGGACAGAGAAGGCTCGAGTGTTGGTGCAGTGGACCAATAATCCACGTCAAAGCTGGAAGTACAGTGTGAACAGCTGGCATCCCAGCCCTGCTCTAGGGAGGTGGAATTGGAGATGGGAGAAGACAGGGATCTCAGGATCCAGTCTGAAAGAGAACAAAGAGAGCCTCTCTGAAACAAAGTAGAAGAGGAGGACCGACTGCTGAATTTGCCTTCTGACCTCCACATGTATCCCAGGGCACACACACTTAGGAAGTCAGCACAAATGCAGGCACGTATCTACAGAAGAGAGGAGCTCCTTTGTCCCGCATATCTCGAGAGGTGGAGAACAGCTGATGACATCTCTGCATGAAGGCGGAGAAGAGAGTAGGGCATATAGCCATGGAATCCCGTGTCACTGTGGTGAATACAGCAACTTCTCTCTAGGTGTGCAGAAATCGGCGACCTCTCTGCCTTTTTTCCCCACAAGGTGAATCTATGAATTGTTCCAGTATTCCTGTCTATTTGATTTGCAAAGATCTGAAGCTGGAATGTGTGTTTTCTGGTTCCCCACGGGTCCGATGGGTTGACTATCCTGACCTTGCACAAGGAGGAAAGCCTGGCACCCCGGTGACAGCTATATATACATCCTTAACTTTCATTAACCAGATTTCTTATAGGGAAGTTCTGAGTGGTTGAGTTTCTTACAGCACAACAATTTTATAATCATGTTTCTTTATCCTTTTTTATTTACAAACAGATCATTGGGTATTTTGACCTGGCTTCATAGGGTATAGTGAGATAAAAAAATACATATTTTTAAAATTTTCTTACATTAATATCTCCAATGCTTTTGTGGATCTGTTACTATTACCTCCAAGAAATCTTGCAGTTAAAAATACTTCTGCTGGCATAATTCACTACAGCCCCAATATTCGCATTTCTGTGCATCAAGATTGACAGCTAGAATCCAGGAGTCAAAGCCTGCTTTTGTGTCAATGAAGCTTTATTAGAAAACAATATTTGTTTCCACGGCTAGTAATCCAGTAGTTTTGTGTTATGAGGGAGTAGAGGAGTTTCAGTAGAGATGGTGATTTACAAACCACAGCGACTAATTTCTGCTTCCTCACACGAAAGAGTTTGCTCCGTGTGAGAATATACTGGGTGCTGCCTGTAACAGGCCGACAGGCTAACTCAGTGCCTTGCCCATAAAAGGTAGAGAGGTTGATCTCGTATCCTTGTTGTAGCTAGTACAGATTAATCCTGCATCTACCTACAACAGCTAGTGGGGAAAAAGAAAACGCAGAGAATTGTAGAAAGCAGTAACAACTTTGGCTGAATTTCAAGAACAGCTTAAAACAAGCAAGCAAGCAAGCAAACAAACAAACAGGAAATGGATCAAAATTATTTGGTACATTCCCTCAGACAAATGCATTGCAGTCATAGGGATAAAAAAGCTCAAAATGCAATGTATGAAGTTTTTAAAGAATTAATAAAATTATTTAAGCAAACAAAAAAGATCTTCTTGGGTTGTCTTTTCAAGATTTTAAGTAATAAAGGCATCTTTCATTGATTTTTGAACTTACATTGTTTCCATCTCGAAGAGTTTAGATGTGCTTTGTTAATAAGGAGCAGAGGATTTACCTCTCGCAATGAGCTAAAAAGAAATTTCCCCCCAAATCATCAGTGAAATTGGTCACCAAGCATCACATAGAGCAATGGCGGTTTTAAACCGCATGGATAACTAGACAAAAAGTTTTCAAATTGATTAAATTAGAGAACGTATGTTTCGCTTCTAAACTAAAGTATCCTTAACAATGGAAAATAATATTCTTAAGTTATACATACTCTTGTAATATTAATAATGTGGGAGTTTGTAGCTAAAAGATAGCATATAACACTTGATATTAAAAAAAAAAAAGCCGGGCAATGGTGGCGCACGCCTTTAATCCCAGCACTTGGGAAGCAGAGGCAGGCGGATCTCTGTGAGTTCGAGACCAGCCTGGTCTACAGAGCTAGTGCCAGGACAGGCTCCAAAGCCACAGAGAAACCCTGTCTCGAAAAACCAAAAAAAAAAAACAAAAACAAAAACAAAAACCTTGATATTTCTCTATTAAGCGCATTTGGTTACCCACTCAAACAATTGCTTATTAAATAAAACCACTAAGTGACCCCTCTTTTCAAGAGTAGCACTATATTAGTTCACAAAAGCTTCTTATTGCTATAGAAGATATAATTTTGATTAAAAGCATAGAAAATGAAATATATTTGTATTATAATTTTACTCTCAAAATATTTGAGAACTTATTATATACAGCATATATAATATAAATTGATATAATGTATACTATACATTTATGCATAATATATTGTAAATCTATGTAGAATGAAAATAAATAATACATATAATATAAATAAAATAATCAATATCCCTTTGTATAATTGGGGTTACTTTACATAAATAGCAAATAAAAGCCCGTGCATGTTTAGTTTTAATATGTGAATTTTGATCCTGTAATGAAAATGGGAATAGACTGGTAATTTGCTTTATACCTTTTTAATTGTGAGGGAGAACCCAATTGTTTCCATTAATTTTGCCTTTGTATCTGTGTGACTCCAAACTGTCATTCCTTTACTGTAAGGTCGCCTGCTCCTAGTTCTCTACTAACACACAAAGTCCCTTGGAAAGTTTGTATTAAAAAAAAAATCTGCTTTCACTCCTTGCAACAGGCAGTGCCTCTATTCTCCCCGAAACTCTTGAATATTCATCGTATTCATAACTGTACAGAATCCCTGAGAATTGTAGAAAATAACGAAATCTTGGTGCTTCTATGGCCTGCCTTCTCCTGCCCCTCAGTGCTTTCCTGGCTTCTCACCCACCTGTACCCTTCGAGTTAGACAGGGTGGTGGAGGGGAAGCTGGAGCTGGAAGTGCTGAGGCAAAGGGCAAAGGGACTGCTCAGCCCTGAAGCCTCGCCTTCAGAGGGTTTGCTTCTGTAGGTGAACGCGTCTGAGGGTTTCAGCAGCTCTGCCACACTGGCTCTTAAGAGGCAGAAAACCTGTAATTTAAAGCAGCTGCTTAGAGCCTCGCTGACAGTGCAGCAGAGACGGGATCAATCAACAACACGTCATGCTCCCCGTGTCCGCTAGAAACTCACCTGGGAAGCCTGCCTATTAGGAAACCACCGTCAACATATTTCTGTAACTAGAAATTTGCCAGTTGGCATTAATCGACAGGGGAGAAAATGATATCTGCGTTCACTCTCCCCCCACCCCCATGTGGTTGGCCTGAGTTTTCTCTTTCTGTGCAAAAACTCCTGATCCTTTATTTTGGATAGGGAAGTCATAGGGAAAGCCCCTCCCCCGCCTTCTCTTAATGTCACAATATTCTTCTCCCTCATTCTTGATTGCACTGTCCTCTTATGGCCCTTATTTGGCAAAGACCTGGCATCTTTTCCCCACTTTGTCATACTCTGTTATTGCCTTTTTCTTTTCATTTTCTTTAATGAAAGAGAATCCTTAATTTAGAGCACATTAGGCCTAGAGAGTCCCCTGGGCCAGGGGACTCTGGCAACCTTCCCCGGATCAATAACCCGTGCCCAGACAGTGAAGTTTGGTACTGAGGAAGTTTGTGTGAAATGGGGGGGGGGGGGCTCTGGAGTTTTGCGATGGCCCTTGGAATAATCCCTGCTTTTCCCATCCCCTGAAATGTCCCCAGGTGTAAAGTGGATATTTCAGGCCTCCCGCTGAAGCAAGACAACTGCTTGGAGCTGCCTCTGGACAGCTGCCTGGGGGCCCTCCTCATGTTGATCACCCTGACTCCCTGTACCGGAGTCTCCATCTCCGACCTCTGTGTCTGCCCCTTGGAGGATCCCAGCGAGCGGAAGCAGATTTCCCAGCGATATGTGAGTGCCTGGCCTTGTCACGTGGCCCCTTCCTCCCTGACTCCTCCCACCAATGTGCAGTTTGAAGTTAGAACCAAGTCTGTCCACTGACAAAAGTACCAACGGAGATCTCTATTGCAAGTGAAACTCCCTGTCTCGCAAAATAAGACGTGGGGTGAATGGTATATTCAGCATTTATCTAGTCGTTTATTTCTGGTACTATGGCCTTCTTTATTGTTTCTTATTTTGTCTCCTCCTCTTGGTAAATCAACACGTGTTTGTTATTTCTGTCATGGGCTGAATGCAAAGGCCTGGAATCCAGAACCAAGGCGATTCTTTAGTCAGTGGCCACACTGTTCTCAGGAGAGCGTGTAGTGCCAGTGCCTCCAGAGGTCTTCATTGTGTTGTGGATTGGATTGGATAATGCTTAATCTTCACGAGGGAGCATTCCAGACCTGAATCTCAAGGTCAGCGCAGACTTGGCAAGCCAGTTTGTTATCTTCGGGAGATGTCTGGGCGGAATTCACTGTGGCTGTCTTCTCTGAGGACTTTAAGTAAATGGGAGGTGGAAATAAATACACTCCTCAAGTAGACAGTGAGTTGCAATTCAAAGTGGATTCAGAAATTTATGAAGCATGCTTTATATTTGTAAAATAATATTTGCGGCATCATGAAGACAGCTTTGAAAAATGTCTTAGCATTTGAAGCTACTAAGAAAGTAGACATCCTGAGTTTCTTTAGTGAGCCAGTATGTGAGAGAGAGAAAGAATACACTATCACACAGTCTTTATGTATAGCTTAGGCTGGCTTAGAACTTACTATGTAGCCCAGACTTTCCCCAGATCCTAATCCTCCTGCCTCAGTCTCAACATTGGAATTACAGGTACACATGCCTACCATCCCGGCAGAGTACCCATTTGTAGAAAGCATTTCTCCCTTTACATTATAGTAATATTCATTTCAAAAGCTTCCGTATATCTCAAAAACTAGCTGGTTGGCTTGTTTAGGTTAAAAGTACACAGGGAGAATAGTTTTCAAAAGTTCTTAGAGTTGCCACGTGTTAGATTAAGCCAAACATACAGAAATTAATTTTGGCTGTTTTACCCTCACATGCTCAAATAACAAGGGTTTTTACTGTTGCCCCCTAAGTCATTAGAGCCTGCTTATCCCATCCTTTTAGTTATTAATAAGAATGCCAACTGTTTTGATGGTTTTGAAGCTATGTTTTTATTAGACGCCTTCTGTAGGCATGAGAATAGGTACCGCACCACTTGTCTCTGATACGCGTGTTTGTAAGGATGCTATGTGCTTAGAGAAGCTGTACAGCACCAGCTTCTGCATCACGAGTAAATATATTCAATCTATGGAAAATGTTAATTAAAGACTAATGAGAATGTGACTACAGGGTGGTGCCAGAAGCCCAAGTTTTCATTTAATGAATGGAACAGATTTAATCATAGATCAGGAAACTGAGTTTCGTTCTATCTCCGATTCTTTCTCCTTGATCGGAAGCATTTGCAGCAGGATGAAGGTTAGTCCTACAATATCCATAAAGTTTATAATAACAAGATCAGCTTGCCATTGCCTTGAAAGGTAGTTGAAAAGTTGCCTTAATGAGAAAAGGCAGGGGAGAAGGAATGTAATTCCACCCACACATTCTCCCAGTGGGTTATCTATGCTAGCACCGGGGGGCAATGTTAAAAGCAGATTGTGAGTGCTTCTAATTTGTTTATTTCGAGGTTGCAGTTAATTAATTCTCAGTCAATTTTCTTCTCATCTGGCTGTGATGCATGCCTAACGGCCCTGGTGTCTGACATGCACAGCTTCGCAGCTCTTCCAAGAATTTTATGAGGAAGGGGGAGATAAATCTGGAACATACTTCCGGGGGAACTGCACGGCAAGAGCGGCGCACGCACGAGTAATGCATTCTCTCTTGTGTTTAACCTCCCGTGTCCCCACAGGCCTTACAGAACTCACTGAGAGACGTGAAAGACGTTGGCCTTCTCCAGGTGAAGGTTCTGAAGGCGGTGGACCTCTTGGCAGCAGATTTCTCAGGTAGAGAAGAACATATAAGCCTCTTGGTTCACTCTTGTTACCGTGATTTGTCTTGCTTCAAAGTGAGCTTCAGGCAAAGCCAGACACTCAATAAGCAGGAGTAACTCTCCGGTTCCTTTGGATAAAGTAATAGGAGGCAAAGCACACACGGGAGCAATTGTTTCTCACAATGTGCATTTCCCACAAAATCAGTTTGTTTCAAATAATGCTACCCAGATGGATTCATGTAGTAGCTCATTTGGCATTCCGAAATATAATGGATTGATAGCCTCACAGTTTCAGCTTCTGTACTTACAAACTGTGGTTCGGGCCCTGCTTGCTACAGTCCCTCCTATGGCTCCTTTCCCCCCTTCATATGCTCACTTTGCTGCTCAATGCTGCCCTTCAATCTTCAATAGGCAATGCTTGGTTGATCTGAGCATCACTGTGTTAGTGACCAAGGTCCGGGCTCTAGGACTGCTTTCTGCTTTTGCCTCCCTTCAAGAATACTCTCCTGGTCCCTCATGAACTTTGACTTTTGGGTGGAGGCCCGAGGGGACCTTCTTTGTGCTGCAGTGGGCTGTGCAACATGTAAGGTCTTCCAGACATGGCAAAGTCCGACCAGTCACTTCCCTGTCAAGGCTACATTGCACACCAAACACAACTGAAGGATTTGTAGGGTTTAATCTCTTGTATATGCAGGCAGTGTGAGCTTCCTGCTGTGGGGGCTGGAACCCAATTGTGGGTCCTCTGGGAGAGCAGAAAGTGTTAACTTGTAAGCCATTTGCCTAGCTCTACATTAAGTTTTAATAAGCTGAAAATTCATAAGACCAAGTTTGTTTGTTTGTTTGTTTGTTGATTTTGGCTTTGGTTTTTCAAGACAGGGTTTCTCTGTGTAGCTTTGGTGCCTGTCCTGGAACTAGTTCTTGTAGACCAAGCAGATCTCGCACTCACAGGGGTCTGCCCGCCTCTACCTCCCAAGTGCTGGGATTAAAGGCGTGTGCCATCGCCACCTGACCATAAGACCAAGGTTTTAGAAGCTTAACTTGATAGGAATTTTTTAAGTTTAAGCTATCCTTTTGTAAACAGTTATTGAACTTAACCTCAATAGGAACTTAATTTCCAGAACTTTGCACCCTGCCACAGATCATGGGAAGAAAGGACTACTATGTAATTATACAAAATGATTTGTCTCCACCCCAAGGAAGGTCACAGTGAATAGATTTTAAGAACTGTTTTTGTGACCTTCTAAAAGATAGTAATTTTAAGTCTTTTAGATATAATACTCAACAATTTTTTATATATGGACTTGTGTCTAGTATGTGTTTGTGTATATGTGGGTCCATGTCTATGCTTAGATATGTGTACATGCCCCCTCCGTGTGTGTGTGTGTGTGTGTGTGTGTGTGTGTGTGTGTGTGTGTGTATTTAGTCCTGAGGCTGGCTAGATTTGCCACATTGAAAGCAAGTTCCATATAGAGATTCTTCGATGCCCATCATCCTTTTGTGAAGTAAATTGTTGCCAAGAGCAGATGTATCTTACTGTCAAGAAAAGCCTTTTGCTATTAAGACATTTTAAGTGTCATATTATGTAGGTCTTTGAAGATTATCTATTTACAATATATCTCTGTTTAACCTTAAAAACATCTAACATGATTGTAAGTTTGATTGTTATAGATAAATAATTATTAACCTACCTTTCTTTATTATCCTAAATAGCTTTCAATGATTAAAAACTTTACATTACATCTTTAAATGAGTTGCATAGGTACACTATCTTAAACAAGAGTAGAAACATATACACAATATAACAAAAATAACCTTAAATTTGTATCAATATACAAAAATTCATACTGATATAAAATATGTGAGACTAGTAGTACAAAAGTAGACCCAACAATCCGACCTTTTATCTCATCATTTCTATAATATATCCCATTTTGCCTTCAGAAAGAGATTCTCGAAGCTATTCTCCTTTGCTCAGATTTTTTCCTGACATCAACTAATAATAACTTGTAAAGACGCCCCCTAAAAGATGATAAACATCCACAATCCATTGAACAACCCCAAACTACCCACCTCACCTCTTGAGAATTTGGTTTTCATGTTCTCTAGACATGTCCTGTATATGGGGGTGATAACATCTTAAGGGGACCCTGAGCAAACTGGGATAATGGTCAAGTCCTGGGAAAACTAGCTGTATCATTTGTTGTCCAGTCTGTGTGTGATGGGAAAGTGCAGGGCTTATTGGAAGTCCTGGCTAGAGTAATCTGTAAGGCTAGACCATCTCAGCTAGTAGCTTTGAAGTTGTTCTGGATGCAGAATTTTGAGGAAAATGGAACAGAGGCATACGGAGAGACTGGATCACTTGGCCTACTGGTTTGTTGTTTCCTGGTTCTTTTTTTTTTTTCTGAAAACACACAATTTTTAAATGTGATGTATGTTACTGCATTAATATAAGGACAGAATGTGTAGTGTGCACAAGTCCGTTAAAGATTATTTTTTTTCTAAGTTTGAGCAGATAAAAAGCGTCTGTTAACTTTATAAATTTGTTTGGACTATATAGTCAAACACTTATCCATGCCACATGAAAAGGACGGCATGTAATAATAAGTCATGAGGATTCTGTGGCCAACAAGGTGTATCATGTTTAATCCAGTCTCAGAACTGTTCCAATGTCGAGAGATCAGTATATATATCACTGATTCTGTAGTTTTTCTTGTTTTTTTCCATGTCTGTAGCTAAAATATTCAGATCTCCCCCAATCAAATCTGATCTTCACTAATTTTAAAAAGAATCATAACTTTTGTTTCCTCTGGAAACAAAGGTAAAACCTGTCCCCCAACACAACATAATTTTTGTCTTTCGTTTGAAGTTAAGACACGCTTGAAATATACAGTTTGGCTTAAATTAGCAGTTTCCATGATCCAATGTATTTTAGCTGCTATTGTCTTTTGTATATTAGCATTTAAAAATTCAAAGTCAACAAAGCACCATACAGGATCCAGACAACCTGTGTATTTCCCATACTTATGTGGCTTTATCTTTTTATATTGCTTTATTATTCCTTTAAGGACATTATTATCTTTAAACTATTTTTTCCATGACAGTGTATATACATTTTTTTCTTTCTTGAGTATCTAAGTATATTTTAAAAACATATTGTACATTTTTAGAGGTTTTCTGTGTCTGGACTTGGTTTGTTAAGTTACTGCAGCATTCTCTGAATACATGAGACAAATATTAAACTGCCATATCAGCTGTACCATGAGTGTGGCTCAGCTTTTGTGCATGGTGCTGACTGTCTCAAGCCTTCAGGCATGAGCAATGGCCTGTGTAAGAGACCACAGGACTAGGAAGTTATGTTCAGTTTCTTGTCCAGACATTTCTTAGCTTTCTCAGGCCCTATGTTTGGATATTTGAGGCCCCACATTGGGTGCCATATATAGACAAACCTTCTTTTCTGCCACCAGCCCCAAGTAATGACATAGAGACTTATTATTGATTATGAAAGCTTAGCCTTTAGCTTAGACTTGTCTCAAATAACTCCTATAACTTAAATTAACCCATTTATATTTATGTATATTCTGCTACATGGAATTACCTCTCTATCATATTGTACCTCCTATTTCCTTCTGTGTGGGTGGTAGCTTCACCTTTCTTCTTCTTCTCCTTCCTAGAGTCCTTTCTGTCTCCAGAAATCCTGATTAACCTCTTTCTAGCCATTTGCCTTTCAGCTTTTATTACACCAATAATGGCAATACATTTTCAAACAGTGTACAAATATCCTACACCATTTTGGTCAGGTCCTAAAGCGCTGGTCTAATTTGCATGAAGTTCTGAACTCAGTCTCCAGCACTGTGTACATTAGTTGTGGTAGTGCAAGCAGTAATCCCAGCACTGGGCAGCTGAGGGCAGGAGGATAAGAAGCTTTATGTCACTCTTCCCTAGGTAGACAGTTCAAGACAAACATGGATTACAGGAGAGTCTGAGAGAAAAGACTTGAATAATATGGATCTGAAAGCCAGGAATGATGGAACACAGCTAAAAATGTCCGTCTCTAAGAGAGTGAGAAGATGAGAAAGGATGGTAACAACTTTGAAGCCATCCTGGGTAACACTGTGAGACCACGTGTTAAAAACAGGAAGGTGGTCTTTCTTAGATCTCATTTTCTAAAAGTTACTGAGAGGTTTTTTTTTTTCTTTCTTTCCTGTCCTGAGGTCTATGCTAACATTAGCTCTGGCTATCTTAAAGTTATTCTAATGAGGAGCCTGTAGGATGTACTTATAAGCTGTATTACCAACTCTTTGAGAATAGAGTAACCTCACTTTACTACAATGGGGTCTTCAATCTGATGTCATCACTTCCCTGGTAACTGGGTTGCAGCCTTTATTCATGAAACAAATGATGTACTGTGTTGTTTGATTCAAGGTGAACAGACCTGTGTGTAATGCTTGATAAGACAAATCTAGTTCACTTAGCTTAAAACTCAGCTTTTTAGAGAAAAATAAATAACTTTCAAACTAATGACTTAAAAGAGTGGCTGAAATCCTCTTCCCCTTCCCTTCTGTACAAAGCTGAAAAAAATGGTAAGAGCACCCAGTTCCCTTGTGACAGTGGAGGCCCCAGCAGAGACTGTATGTTCTCATCTGCCCACAGTTTATCAAATGCATAGATAATGTTAAAGAATAATGCAAATATGTCTCACAGACTATACAAAGATAACAAAGTATTAATAGAAGGGCATTTGAGAACTGACACATTTTTTTTAGCTAGAATTGTCCATTAAGAACACTTCTCTTACACTTGAGAGATCAGTGATGGACCACAGGGAGCAGTGTTGCGTGCTCAGCTTACAGTGGTCTCACTGTTCAGGATAGTCTCAATGTGATTGTGAGGTGGTGTAACCTGTGGAGTCAATTCCTTATGTCAGAGTAAGAAGGCATTAGTGGATAGCCTTTGCACAGCACGCAGGTAGAGATTCAACATCTATTTCCGACTCTTCTCTGTTACACATCGACT